AAAAGAAAATAAAATAAATGGAAAAAATATCTGCATAATAATAATTTGTAAAATAGGCAAGTTTTCACTCGATTTTATTCATTCTAAGCACAAGGATATACCGTTATAAGATCTCTCTAACTCACATATTGACCGATATTTGCGGTACAAAGTCACTTGGATATATCGTTATATGGGAAATAGGCGTGATTTTAGCCCGATTCCGTTCAATTTCACACTGTAATATAGAGGCTTCAAAGTAATTTGATGTGCCGAATTTGGTTGAAATTGGTCGAGCAGGTCCCGATGTGAGATTTTACGTATAAAGGGGGTTACGTCCTCTTTTTTTGTTCACATATTCCCTTTGCTACTGCGCTCCTCTGCGCCAAATTAGAGTTCTATATCTTATGGATCTTTATACGTTTTGGGTTAATGACGTTTTGTGGGCTTGCCTGTAGTCGGATTACGCTCCTCTACTCCCTCCTACTTACTTATTTGCCATGGAACGAAGTTTCATCAAGATATTTAAATTTTTACTCGAATTACAGCTTTCATGAACGGACGGACGAAGAGACAGACAGTCTGCCGGATTTCAACTAGTCGGGTCATTTTGTTCATTTATAGATAACTCTACATTTATAACGATTGGTTTTAGGTGACACATTCTAATCTATATAACTCAAAATAGGCAGACATAGCTGAATCAATGCAACTCGTCATGATAATATTATATATTATAAATACTATTGTACTTTATAGGGTCTCTGAAGTCTCCCTCTGGCTCTTACAAAAGTTGTGATAAATTTAATGTATTTAATAGGGGTATAAAAATATTTGATTTTTTAGCAATAAGTACCAAGTAAGTTAAACACCAATTTATTTAATTTCACTCTTTCTGAATGATTATAATACATATTTTCACATTAGAAATATCAAACCAGGCGACTTCTACCATAGATGAGATCAATACGTTTTTCGAAGATATCCCAAATTTCTGGTTCAAGAAGGAAATGAGTTTGAGCTGAAAAACAAATTTGCTTAGGAATTCTGAAAAATTCTACGTAACTCTGCACAACAATCAAATTTTTTACATAAATTTTTTGATGCGCGCATTACATAAATCGCCGTTTAAACACCCTTTATATATGTATATAAGCACGACAAATATATCAATGTCAACACTCCAGCACGCTACTGCCGCTAACAAACACTTGATCTTTACGCTCGCGCTTATTCTTCTAAATTAAGTTCTCCGTTTTTTCTCAATTAATTCACTTATTCTATTTGTAACAAGTGATTTTCGTACACGCCGAAAGCTATAACAGCAACTAAAACTAGTAGCACACAACGTCTTCACGCTGAATGATGCCCTTGACTTACATTATCTTTCAATTTCATAAGAGAGTTATGATAGGCAAGTAAACATTTCATTATCAACAACATAGAACACATCACATCATAAACGCAGATCACAGTATAAGTTCAGATCACATCATAAGCTGAAATCATATAATACGCTCAGATCATATAATAAGCTCAGAACGATTATAAGATCAAATCACATCACAGAGCAGCACAACCTCAGTAGGAAGAGCAAATTTTGTGCTCTGGGTCTAAACAAATCTCAACACTTAAAAGTACTGTTAGCTTTTAGGAGTTATATCCACTTATCGATTTCAAAAAATCAAGAAAATTTATTTTTTGTTTTGAATATGTATATTGGGACAAAAAAGTGCCCGAAAATCGTTATAAAATTCCTCAGATAAAAAATATTTCGAGAAAATGTATTTTGTTAAGTTGATAGAACTGTCTGTAATTATCATGCCGAATATGAGCGCGATCTGTCAAAAAGTTTGTTTACAACAGCTGCTTAAGTAGATACACCTCAGTAATGCGTTGCGATTTGTACAATGGATGAAAATATCGAACAAAGAATTTATCTCAAATTTTATATTTCTAACCAAATTTTGCATGCGGAATAGTTGCGAATGTTCGAAAAGGATTACAGTGATTCAGTTTATCAAAAATATAAGCCTACGAGTGCTGCAAAGCCTTCAAAGAAATCGAAATCGCGAGACATGTTTCGTTCTGGACGCCCTTCAACCTATATAACTGATGAAAATATTGAAAAAGTGAAGGATATGGAAAGCGTCCGGCAAGTGTTAGAGAGATAGCAAGAAAGCCATCTCTCGCGGGTCCGTTCGAATGATCGTCCTCGCTCGTCCCGATTAAGCTGATTTTTTTTTTTAAAAAGAGTACCGTAAGCAGATCTCTTTGGACATGCTTGATGGTGCGAATTCCGTTGGAAACCGTTCATCGAAATGGAACCTATTTTCAGTCGATTGAAGATATAAAACAAAAATCACTGAAGAAGCTGAAGGCCATCCCAAGAAGTGCCTATGAAAAGTATTTCGTGAACTGAAAAAATCGTTGGTACAAGTGCATTACATCTGGTGGGGAAGGCGGCAAAATAACTATTGATGAAAAAAAAAAAACGTTTTGGGATTTATTTACAATTTCTGGGTACTTTTTTGCCACAATGGGATTTTTTTATATTCTACGAAGATTTGAAATCGATTCGGCAGAAATTTGTATGGCTATTTGCAAAAATTGTTTACCTTTTTATAATCTGTTTCCAAAATTTTTTCATTAGGCGGTGAGGAAAATTGCTCAAAAACGGCTGGGTGAACGACTTGAAATTCTAGTATGAACTTCAACGATATATTTATCAGATATTGAGCAAAAGAATAAGATTTTGAAATAATTTCGATTTGGAAACCACTTGAAAAATACTTTTCTAAAAAAACGACTTTTTTGAGGAAGCCGCCATTTTGTTCGAAATAATTTTTTTTCCAAGAATTTAGTTTTATTTACAATTTATTGTCACAATGCATATTTTAAAATATTCTACGAAGTTTTAAACTTGACCCGGCAGAAATTTTTATAGCTATTTGTAAGAATTTTTTAATTTATTATAACCGGCTTCCGAAACTTTTTTATAAGACGGTGAGGAAAATTGCTCAAAAACTGCTGGATCGATCGATTTAAAATTTTTCGTATGATATTGAACAAAACAATAAACTTTTTAATAATTTCAATCACTTTGAAAAGTAAAACTTTTCCTGAAAAAAGTTCTTTTTTTTTTGGAAAAGCCGCCATTTTGTCCAAAAATAATTTGACTAGTTTTGTGATCATTAACTACATTCATCTAATATTGAAATAATATAATTTTTTTGTTTTTGGATTCGAGCTAATTCAAAGCAGAAAAATCTTCTCACCGCCAGTTACGTTTTTTTTTTTTGGAGGTTCTCTTGGAGATCGACTACGGGGTCAAGAGAATCTAAAATTTTTCAAAATAATCCGACGTTTAGCAAAGTACATTAATTGCTGTAAATCTACTTTATTTTTTCTTTATTTATTAAATATTATATTATAAAATAAATCCCCTTCAAACAAATAAAAATCAAGAGAAACTTCATTTCTTCCTGCAAGTATATATAATCCATTAAAAAACGTTTGCTAATTAACAGAAAATATTTATAAATTTTCAAATAAATCACCGTTACATTTTCTTAACTTAGTAGTCAATATTCAAAACCACATACCGTTAAATTGACGCGTGTCTTTGTTGTTAAACAAATATTTCGGTTGTAATTAATCGATTAGTTGCAGTAATCGTTGTAATTCAGACGCACGTTTCGAATTTTTAATTGCAACAGAATGCTATAAAAGCGCAAAGCACGTTTGTTGCGCGCGACTGGAAAACCAAAAGTTTTTCAAAAACGAAAATGACCAAAAAATTATAAATTTATTTCATATATATTTTAATATATGTATATGAGTTTTGATTTATTTAATAATTTATTTCCAACGTAATCGGCCAGTACTTTTCTGCTAGAACGTAATTATTTATTTTAATTGCACATAGAGTACTTAAACACATACATACATACACACATATGTATGCATGTGTATTATGTATTTATATAAATTTGTCAAAGCAGGAGCGTCACACCGATTTTCTATTAACTATTATATTTATAGCAGCATCGCTTGCGTTGGGAGCGTTCAAGCGAAGCGTACAACTTGTTTCTTACGCGTTTGCAAAGGTACTGAATTTGACAAAATTCAAATTGTACCAATAAAGCCCGCGAAAAAGTCGAGCAACAGCGAAATCTCTCCCATGCACATGCAGTTACACATGTATGTTAGTGTATATAAAATGTACATATGTATGCGTTTAAATGTGTGTGTGTGTTTGTAAACGACACTCAGCGACCACTCAGTCGCGACTAACTGACTGATTGACTGGCGCACTAATTAGCTGACAGCCTCACTATCTCATCCACCGACTATCACACCAACTGCCCGACCGGCTAGCTACCCACCAACTCATTAAGCCAACAGCTTCTGTATGCTCGCGCTGCTCGGGCAGCGCTCTTGTGCCCTTAGCTTTTACTATGTTTACATGCCGCACAGTCTGCCGGCGTGCACACTTCATATGTATGCGCATGGGTACCTTTGTAACTGTGTAGGTGTACGCTTCCGCCCTCCCACCGGCGGCGCATGTTCGGCCAACCACTTGCTGATACTCGGCCAGCTATCGTGCAATTGAGTTCTCAATCATCGGAAGCATCAAAATTGTACTATTATAGTATGAGTACACTTGTAAAGTATGTAGTATAACAACAACAATAACAATAAGTACAAAATAACAACAGCAACATTTACAAAATAACAACAAACAAAATTTGAAAAGCAACAACAAAATCATTCATCTACCATAACTAAAAGTTTTTGTGAAACAGTGAGCTTCGTTGCGTTTTAACGGATGTTCCAAGTAGAGGTAGTTTTTTCATTAGCCTTTGGTGACAGATCACGCGTCGTGATACCGCTGAGAACGTAATCGAGAATGGCGAACGTTATCGCGCCGTAATAACCGACTATTTGTTGGCTAAAACTGATCTCGGCAACATTTGTTTTTAACAAGACGGTGCCACTTCCCACACATTGCGTCAATCAATGAATTTATTGATAGAACACTTCGGTGAGAACATAACTTCACGTTTTGGCCGGTCGATTGGCCACCAAGATCCTGTATTATCACAACGTTAGACTTTTTTATTCGGGGATATGTAAAGTCTAAAATCTATGCGGACAATTTAGATTCGATTCAGGGCTTGGACCAAAGCTTCAACCGTGTCATTCGTCAGTTATCTGACGATAATCTCAAAAGAGTCAACGAAAATTGGACTCAACGGGTGGACCATCTGACTCGTAGCCTCGGTCAAGACTTAAAAGAGAGAATCTGCAAAAAATAAATGCCTAACAATGTTCTTTCATGATAATATGTTTTTTTCTTTATAAAAGTAGGGAACCTCGGAATGGATCACCCTTTAGCTTTCTCTCATCGCTCTGCTTTGTTGAATTTGGTTCTCGCAAGATAACTCTGTTTGCAGCGAAATGTTTTCTACAAACTCTACTTACTAGAATACTTAGGCTGAATATATGTTTGAGGAACTTCGAAATATTAAAAATGGTTTCAAAGGAGATAATCAACCTTGCCATCTTCCACTGCCACAACCGTCAGGCCAATTTTAGAAAGACTTAAATCAATATGGGAAAGTAGACTTACTTTTCTTCAGCAATATCGCTGATCTTACCTTGTTAATTACGCTCGGAGTGTATGTTGTGTAGTTTTGTGACTTCAGCACAGCGACCAGGTTACCCGATGCAATGCATGGATCAGTCTGCTGACTGGGTTCTTTCTCCAACTCGACCTCCTGTGGAATAAGTAAAATCTCCATGATCTCTTCCATGCGGAGATCCTTTTCCATTTCACCCATCTCTTACGTTTTTTTGTTGCGGTTCACGTAGGAACTCGGTTCCAACGCCCTGGCGTACAGAATATACTCTGCCGCCTTATTGATCTGGAGGATAAAGCTTTGGCCTCCATCTTCATTGACCGACTTCGCCACGCTTAATACCTTCCAGTCGCTTGTCAGTACGTCTGGATTCTGTCGTTGTTGCAGCCGCAGTGTATATTCCGGATCCACCTCGTGTACCCGCACCACACATCGTTGGAATACTGCAGTTGTCCACCACTTCCACTTTCGCTTCTTTCCACAAGTTTAGAAGCGTTTTAACCGCTTCACTTACTCATGTTAACGGCGGGACGTCGTTATATTTCTGGATTTTGACTCCTTTTGATCATAAGACAAACGTCATCTTAACTTTTTCCATTCCCCAAGTTATTTCTAGTCTATTTCAGTTAGATGTTCTTAAAAAGAGGAATTGATGGACCAAAAAACTACTACTAACTAATGTATAATAGAAGGTGCTGCTAGCTTTAAACTCGTCATTGATTTTGAAGATTTTTTAAGGGGTATATAGGTTTCCTCGGTCATTGCGACGCCATTTCCGGTGACCCCTTAAAAATTGATGTACTCGCGTTGGCAGGATAACTTTTGACATCATCATCATCTAAAGTGAAAAAATACGTACTTTATTTAAAACCTGAACTTAGAACTTAGACGAAGGAAAAAATCCAAAAAATTGCATTTTTTACACACAATTTTACAAAAAAATTCAAATTTCACTGAAAACTTCAGACATTTTTAATAGTTGTAATCGAAAAAAATTCTTCGTGAAAGTCTTTAGAAATTGTATCTCAAAGACCTGTGTAAAATTTCATGATAATCGAATGAGCAGTTCTTGAGAAATCTTGCTAACAGACTTCAAAAACACAGTCTCGAGAAAAACGCGTAAAAGTTCTCAAGGCTGTATCTCCGTAACTATTACTCGGATCAACTTGAAAATTTAAGACAATATTCTAGAGATGTTGTGAAATTTAATGAAATAATAAAACAACTCGATTTTTCGAAACCCGTAGCCCCAACGTCAGTGAAAATGTCAGATATTTTCGGTAGAAAATGCAATGGAATGAAATTTTTAAATTCAGAATTTTACTGATCTGTAATTCGAACTTGAACTTCGTCAGGCAATTCGTTCACAAAACGTTTTACTATTGTGTTGGATTACCATACCATTGATCTTTTCAAAGTTAATCAATTGAAGCGGAGATTTATGTAAAATTATGAATGAAAAAGCGACTCCCTGTGACCTTTTAAAAACTCATGTGAAGTTAGCTCGTTTTTGTTCGGCACAGTATTTCATTCATAAAATTTACGAAAGTGAAGCATGTATACACTGCGCGTCATTAGCCCATGTAAGTAGCGAATATAGCCTAATATAACTGTTTATGATTTTTTTTGTTGTTAATTGGCAGCTATTTTATTGTTTATTTGGACATAGCGGCATGCTGAACCAGCTTAACTTGTGTAAATCAAACTATATGCTCCTAAGGTTAGAATTCAATAGTCACTTTCGGGTGAGGATACACTTTAGACGTGAATGGAGAAGAGGGTTAGTAGGGGAGGAAGATACTAGCTCTATATATACCCCCGAGATATGGCCCAAGTGTGACAAAAGAAGAACCCATCAGCCACCTCCATAGACACCCATATAATATAAATGGTGTGGGGATAGTTGGTTCGCAAAGTTTTTCGGGTCTGGCCGACAATATTCCACTAAATAGTGGAAGGTATTAAAAGTGACCGGAGTTTACGCTTATAAGACCCAAAGAGGTGATCTAGTGGCTGATGTTCACAACGTACTGAAATTATGGAGGGAACACTTCTCCAGTAGTGAAAGTGTAACATCTGGAGATGGTAAACCCGATTCCCCAATGACGATGGAATAGATGTTCCATTACCCGATTATGATGAAGCTCGAATAGCAAATACCCACCTAAAGAACAACAAAGTGGCGGGGGCCGATGTCAAAAGTAGGCCAGAAAATGGGAGCCCCAATAATCTACACCAACCGCCATGGGATAAGCTTCCTCAATATGACATTTAAGTTTAAGGTGTGAAAGACTGAAGCTCACTGCCAACATACTGATTGGACCTTATCAGTGTGGCTTTAGATTTGGAAAATATACTATGATCCAGATTTTTACCATCCGCCAAATCTTGGGAAAGACCCGTGAAAGGAAGATCGACACACACCACATCATCGTTGATTTTAAAGCCGCCTTCGACAACACGGAAAGGAACTGCCACTATGTCTGAACATGGTATCCTTGTAAAGCTAATACAGCTGTGTATAAACTGACGCTGAGCAACACCAACAGCTCCGTCAGGATAGCGAAGGACCTCTCCAAGTCGTTTGATACCAAGCAGGATTTCAGACAAGAAGATTCCCTATCATATAACATCTTCAATCCATTCCTGGAGAAAATAATAACAGAAAATAACGAACTGCAGAGCTAAATAGAGCTACAATCTTCTATAATAGTGTACAGCTGCTGGCGTACGCCGATTTCATTGATATTACTGGTCTCAACAACCGCGCCGTTAGTTCTGCTTTCTCCAGACTGGATAAGGAAGTTCAGTAAATAGGGCTGGTAGTAAGCTAGGACAAAATGAAATTTTTGCTGTCAACAAATAAACAGTCATCGCATTCGCAACTTCGCTCGTAAGTCACTCTTGACAGTCATATCGTCGAATTCGTAGATAATTTAATCTATCTCGGAACGAGCATTAACACCCACAGTGACGTCAGCCCCAAAATCTTATGCAGAATAACTCTTGTCAACAGGTGTTACTTCGGACTGCGTTGGCAATTGAAAAGTAAAGTCGAACAAATACTAAGTTCTACAAGTCACTAATCATCCCCATTTTGCTATATGATGCAGAGGCATGGGCGATGACAACATCGAATGAGTCGGCGTTACGAGTTTTCGAGAGTAAGGGTCTGCGGAAGATGTGCGGTCTCGAAAATGAATCACCCATTATAATATAAACATTAATCATAACCTCGAGAAAGCTTGAGAAAAGAGTGTAAGTTGAAGTATTCATCCTACCCATACAATTACATACTACATACATATGGACATACCTATGAGTTTGTTTTTGTGCAGCTGTTTTCAAAAGCTTAACATAACTTCATTTGAAATTCAAGGTTACTTGAATTTCTGGAAGTGCCCACTCTGTTGTTAAAGCACTTTTCACTCATGATCTTGTCGAATTAAATGTGGTTTAAGAATTATTTGATCTCCTAAGCAAGAAAAACACGTTATTTAAATTGCTTTGTGTATGTGGACTGCAGCATACGACTTCAACTGAGTACCAATATATCCACAGATGTAATTAAATATACATACAAACGTGTATTTATGTGGATATGAGACGAGTCGACCCCATATTTTGCAAATTAATGAATAAACATAAATGGGAAATGTTTTTTTTTTTTTTTTGTCATTTATTATAAAAATAAATTCCTACATACCCCTAACGAAATCTTTGGTAGTCGAAAAATTCTTTTCGTATTTCTAATCAAATAATTTTTTTTTTTTTATATTTATGTTGAACTTTAATGAACCAAATATGTATCATTTTGGTCGAGCACATTTTGTCATTTTTCCGCTAAAGACATTTTTCCATGAGTGTAAAACTTTTCTGATTTCTCAGCGAAAAAATGCGACAAGTAATTTTCACAGGTTTCTCTTGAAGCCAACTTTACTCCATTCAGGGAGCTCTGCATTGACGGAAACAAATGATAATCCGATGGTGCAAGGTCAGGGATATACTATGCATCAAAACTTCCTAGCCAAGCTCTGTCTGTTGTTGCGGAGTCATCAAAGATGTGTGTGGTGTAGCGTTGTCCGGATGCAAGACGAAACCCTTTCTGCTGATCAGATCTGGCCGTTTTTTCAATTGCTTGCTTCAATCGCATCAGTTGTTGACAGTAAAATATAAAATCAAATGTTCGATCAGGCTGGAGCAGCTCATAGTGGATGATTCCTTTCCAAACCCACCAAACACTTAGCATAACCTTTCGAGGTGTCAATTCTGGCCTTGCGACCGTTTGTTGAGCTTCACCGCTTGGACCAAGATCTTTTTCGTACATTATTGTTGTAATTGATCTGCTTTTAATCTCCTGTTACCATTCGCTTCAGAAATGGTTCGATATCATTTATCAGTCCATTAAATTTTCCACAGACAATTCATGTGGTAACCAAACATCGAGCTTCTTTTTGTAGCCAGCCTTTTTTAAATGGTTCAAAACTGTATGATGATGAATTTTAAGTTCCTTAGCGATGGTGCAGGGTAAATTATCTATACGAACTATAGTCCAAACTATATAATCGAATTAAGATGATCTCTTTTCAGCAAACTAGACACCAAAATTACCTTCTGCTTACCAAATCATCGCAGTGGAGTGCCTAGCGGAGATCAGAGCAATTAAAGAAACCCTTCTTGCTCAGACAGATACTCAGCCGGCCTTGAGCTCACTAAAGTATCTGACGGTTTTGTCAAAGTCACTAAAAGAATACATGATCTCTTAAACCTCTAAAATCATATTTCACGATAACCCTGCAATGTGTTCCAGGAAATTATGATATTCCTGGCAACTGTGAAGCTGATGAATTAGCCAGAACAAGCACTATGCTACAATAAGAATCCAGATTGGAAGGAAACGGAATTTATGTGTCTCTGCTACTTATCGATATACAATTGACAAGCATGAAAAGATTATAGATGCGTCTCGATGGAATCAATCTCTGTCAAGAAAAGGCTGTAGCAGCATGATCGGAATCGGAATCGGAGTAACAAGTCACCGTCTGGTCGCGGCACACGCCCAGAGAATGGGGCTGGCAGATCGAGAAGACTGCAGAAAATGTCTAGATCAAAGCACCAGGGTACTTGTCCAGTATTGGCAAAACTACGCTGTAAGCATCTGAGGTTCCGAGGTATGATACACTGGAGGAAATATCGATAGTGAGGCTATAGAGTCTGTTAAAATGCGCGTCAACCGCAGGCATCCTAAAGAATGGGTACTCCTCATTAACAAACCCTTGTGTAGCTTCGTTCTGGATATTGCAGCAAGTTGTCCAGAATAGACCCCGACATAACCAACATATGCTGCATGCAATTAGTCCCCGCATGACATTGGCCACCTCTTTGCGTGCCCCGCCAACGCCACTCATCTAACACGACAACCTAGATAATCCTAAAGGGGATTAGATATCCGTTAGAACAACAACAACAACTACTCCTCATGGAACCGAACTGACAGATGGCTGCTAACCAGACACTGAGAAAGCGGCCCTTAACATTTGAAGCATTTTTTTTTTTTTGTAATCCCGAAAATTGGAAATACAATTACTTTTCAAATTTCGAATGCCAAATAACGGATTGAAAAAATAGTCTCAAATACCGAAACTAAAAATTGGAATTCAAAATTGAAAATCCAAAATTTTATAATTATAAAATTTACAACCCTGCTTTCTTTATATAAAAAATATATAAATGTGTATGGTATAAAGTGTAAGATCACCATATATTAAAATTTTGTCCGCTTGGACTCTGTAGGGCTGCGATTTGTAGAATATAATGAATCGAAATGCGAATAAATTTGTCACTTTTGCAGCGCGGAGAGGTGGTAATTGTTAATGTATGGCATAAAAAAAATTAAGATGGACAGATCCGGTTTATATATACATACACACTTTCATATGTACATATGTATACATAAATACATATGTAAGTAATTATATATGGTATATAGGGGATGTGAACAGCGACATATTTGTTGTAGCAAAAATCATATAATATATTAATTTTGTAAAAAATATACAATTTTTCATATTGTATTATGTACTTATGCAGCAATAACAGCGCAACGGGTTGCAACAAACGCTCTTATAATTCTGTGTGTGTATGTGTGTCACCCTTAGATGATCAAATATAGTGCACACCCGCTGGTGGGAATATATAAAAAACCGGAATAATGACTATTCATAATGTTTAGCATGTATTTTCTTATTAATTTGAACGTATTTCCATTCTTTTAAAGCTAATTTAATGTTATTTATTATTTACTTAATAACTACAGCTTTCAAATTGTAAAAAAAAAAAAAATTGGTTTAAGACATAGCAGTGCTGCAGACAAAAAGCTAAAACTCACATAAATATTAATGAAAATGCTTATTCGCCTAAATATATGCAACATAACCTCAAAGTATTATGAACTAAAAAACAAGGAAAAAGATAACTACGGTTGCACCAACGCTTTACATACAAGAACTTGAATTTGGTTGGTGGTTCTTGTTATTGCGGCAGAATTCTGTCAAGTTGAGCGTCCTTGACTAGAAAAAGATTACAAGATCTTGAATTTGGTTGGCCAATTTATATGGCAGCTATAAGCTATACCGGTCCGATCGGAACAATTTATTGGCAAATTGTACCGTTGTCCTGAACAATAAACCGAGCCAAATTTCGTGAATAGATCTTATCAAATAAAAGATTTCCATACAAGCACTTGAATTTAATCGATCAGTTTGTGCGACACATACATATGTATGTATATCACACTGTGGTCCTAAATCCGACAAATGAGCACAAAAACAGATTTTTGAAATAATACACGGGCACAATTTACGACCGATAATTCAAAAATTGAGCACACGCACTACCTAGCTAAATGCAAACATTAAAAGACGATTTTAAATTTTAAGAAACAAACGCCGATTCTATTTATTGTATTATTATTGAAATCACAAACATTATTTTATAGTGTATTTCCTTATTTTGTACATCAATAAAAGTAGCATGCATTTGATTGTAAAAAATTATAAACCTACTATTTCATAAAGTCTTATAACTAAAAGACACTAGCCAATAAGTTTTCGAATTATAAACATGTTGGGAGAACCTAACCACTAACTCCAGAAAAAATAGGAATATTTTAATTAAATACATACATACATTTAATGAATGTGTAGATGAAAAATATAATGCTAAATTAACCGCGAAAAAAAAAAATGGATTAGACTCAACTGAACATAATCCAAATGTGAACTTAAATAGTAGTAATACGAGTATGTTCAAAAATTCAAAATATTTGCAGACCGTGATGGCTTTCAAAATACAATATATGGCAATCATGATCAGGTTACAAATATCTATGCTATTGAACAGTCAACAGGCAGGCCGGCACACGCCTCTTTCTTTTATATTTACAATTTATTAGCCATTTTGTACAACGGAGTTTTCAATACGAATACACAAAGGCGAGTTACTGTTTAATTTAACTATTCTTATGCGCATAGTTGGTTTTTCAATGAACAGCGAACGCAATTATTAAGAGTATTAACTTTGTTGGATTATTTTTTAATTAACTTATGGCAGTGCAGCACGCCCGAGATCTTAACAATAGCAAAACGTGGTGGGTTACTGGTCCTGTTGATTTGTTATAATTAGTATGGTAATGTAATGTATAATTATTACTGTTGTATTGGTCGGCGAAATAGTAAAATATGCGGTTCTGGTTTATGTATCATGTAATGTATCCAACCGCGAGATTGTTGCACACCAATAGACCTCCATTCGTGCTCCGTCATCAAATGCGTTTTGGGCACCAATTTTGAAAGTTCCTTTGGTAGCACAACATGCCTTTAAAATTAAAAACAAACACATGTTTATTAAACAATTGACAACGAATCTCCAATAACAAAATTATTTACCTATATTCGAATTTTTCATCGTAGTATTTATCCGAATAGTAAATGTCCTTACTCATGATGATTGACTTATGCGAATTTTCTAGATACCAATAAACGACAGAAGTCCTTCACGTTTTTTTGCACCTGGTGCAGATGTTCGCAACCTGTAGATCCTTTTTCAATTTGTTTCGACGTTGCTTTTAAAGCCGACAATTTGTTTTACACAAAAACTGACGCTTGTATACGTTTGTTAACTTTTTGTACTTTTCGAAGTTGCATTGAACTTTTAAAATGTTATTTTTAGCAAGTTTCGCGAAATATACACATATAAATGCTTCTTCCTCTCGCTCCAAAATTAATTAAAATCCGCAAGGCGCTAAACTGGCGTCGATCGTTTTATTTTCCGTTTGAATTTGTTGTTTCATTTATACAAGGTAAAAAAGCATGTGTACATACGAGATAGCCATGTTCCAGTGATACATAACATTAGCGACATCTTCAGACGAATTTACATAAACACAATGGTAGTGTTCAGTAAAATGGACAATAACAGGGTTGCAACGGGGAAAACATGAATAAGAAAAACTTCCAAACTTTAGGTTCTTAATTAATATTGACTTCATTTGCAATTTCAATTTGAGATATATTAATTATGTATGAATAACATGGTTTTCTATACTGTTACTTTAAGAACTTTTCATTAAGCTACGAAAAAAGAACAATTTTATTTCCTTTTTTTTATACGTGTCAAAAAAGTCTTGCGGTATTTTCGCTAGTTGGCGCTGAGAGCGCGTAGTTCTAGTTTTATTCCTCGTATCGGGTCAAGCTAAACCTTTTTGGAAAGCTCATTTCACGGGCCAACACGTGTTTGATTGATTGTCGTTTCTTTTAAGTCGTTCGTGAGTTATAGCGTCGCAACCATGGAGCAAAATAAGGAGAAAATACGGCATATTTTACAGTACTACTACGATAAAGGCAAAAATGCATCTAAAGCCACCAAAAAAATTTGTGAAGTTTATGGACCCGATACACTTTCCATTTCCACCGCACAACGATGGTTTCAACGTTTTCGTTCTGGTGTAGAGGTGGTCGAAGATGCGCCACGCTCCGGAAGGCCTGTCGTCGAAAATTGCGATAAAATCGCTGAATTGGTCGAAAGAGACCGGCATAGTAGCAGCCGTAGCATCGGTGAAGAGCTGGGCATGAGTCATCAAACCGTTATAAATCATTTGAAGAAGCTTGGAGTCACTAAGAAGCTCGATGTATGGGTGCCACACGAATTGACGCAAAAAAACATCTTTGACCGTATCGACGCGTGCGAATCGCTTCTGAATCGCAACAAAATCGACCCGTTTTTGAAGCGTATGGTGATTGGCGATGAAAAGTGGGTCACTTACGATAACGTAAGGCGCAAACGGTCGAGGTCGAAAAGCGGTGAAGCGGCCCAGACGCTGGCCAAGCCTGGATTGACGGCCAGGAAGGTTCTTTTGTGTGTTTGGTGGGATTGGGAGGGAATAATCCACTATGAGCTGCTCCCCTATGGCCAAACGCTCAATTCGGACCTGTACTGCCAACAACTGGACCGCTTGAAGGCAGCACTCATGCAGAAGAGGCCATCTTTGATCAACAGAGGCCGAATTGTCTTCCATCAGGACAACGCCAGGCCACACATATCCTTAGTGACGCGCCAGAAGCTCCGGGAGTTCGGATGGGAGGTACTTTTGCATCCACCGTATAGTCCGGATCTCGCACCAAGTGATTACCACCTGTTTCTGTCCATGGCGAACGCGCTTGGTAGTCTGAAGTTGGCCACAAGAGAGTCCTGTGAAAATTGGCTCTCCGAGTTTTTCGCCAATAGGGGAGCGAGCTTCTATGTGAAAGGCATTATGATGTTGGCATCTCGTTGGGAACGCGTCATCGAACAAAACGGCGCATATTTGACTTGAATCGCATTATTGTAAGCAATTTTATGAACAATTGAAAATTCAATAAAAATACGGCAAGACTTTGTTGACAACCTATTATTAAGAAAAAATATAATGAACATATTCATTTGTACAAAGTTGTTATAAGCAATAAATTGAGCATAACATATTTTCATGAAAGTCAAAACTTACATATCTATTAATATATTCGTTAATTTGAAAATTTACAGTTTGTATTTACAAGGAGCGTTACAAAGTAAAATTTCATGAAATTTCATCGATTGGAAGTAAGGTTTTTGTTTTTTAAGTGTCAGTATGTTTGTGTTGTAGGTGCCAAAATAAGCTTTGAACAAAGAGTCAATTTGGGCTTATGAAAGGTGTGTGCACGGTTTGTTCCGCACAAATTGACTGACGACTAAAAATTGCTCAGAATCCAACATTCGAAGTACATCATTAAAGAGGTCAAAAAGGACAAAAAACTTACTTTACAATATTTTGACTGGTGTCGAAACGTTTCCAATATGATCCCGTGTAGATATCAAGAGTGAAGACAATGCTGATTTCCTTATGATTCCAAGGTTGTTGTCCACAAAGAATTTATTCCACTCGGCCAAAAATTAATACAGTATTCTACCTTAAAGTTTTGAAGCAATTGGTGCGCCGTATTCGACGTGTTCGGCCCGAATATAGCGAAGATAAAAGTTGGCATTTGTTGTTGGCTCATCGATCGACGCTTATGACATATGTACTATGTACTTGTGGCCATATCGGCCAACGAACTAAAACACTTGTTCGACATAGTTTTGAAACGTGCAAAAAACTATATTTAAGCAAGAGATTATTTTGAATAAAATAAATTGATTTTTCCAAAAAAAAAAAAACAAGTCCAGTTTACTTTGGAAATCACCTTGTATTCATATATAAACATTAAGCAATACATATTCAATAGAACTAACAACCAAATTAAAAACGATGGTAACCAAAACGAATATAAAGAATATTATTACATTTTCAGTATGCTTATATTAAAGATTATTTCCGATAGTTTTGAGCACTACCTATTTCACTAGGGAATGTTGAATAAAGGTACATTTGGATCTACATTAAAAAAAAAAAAAACAATTGAATAAGCTGCAAAAATACAAAATATAAACATATACTTGTAAAAATAAATGTTATACTACAATGCATCACAAAACCTGATCCCAGTTTTATATATCGCTGTTTCACTTTCTTATTACATATTTAAATTCGCATATAAAGTATCTATTCTGTACTTTATTTTGCGCAAAAGTAAAAAAAGTAATATAGCTGTGAAAGTATCAGATCGTTCTTTACCAACAAATGTTAACCTTCATCCAGTAACGTCAATGTACTACAAGCAGTTGAAGATTTAGATACATATCTTGAAACGTCATACATTTCTTCATTCCTTACCATTTGTTATATTACTACTGTGACATATTCTACCCTGCGATTTCGCATGATTTTACTTTCGACGTGGTGCTGTCACTGCTCGTGATAACCTTCCAATCACGAAAGGCCATAACACTAGTAACGTAAACCAAAGCGGTGAAATATCAGCAAACGGCCACCATTTCGGGTATCCACGGGTTCTGTTTTGGTTTGTAGTTTTCTGAGCTGCAGTTGTACGCATGTCGTTCAACAATTTTTCCAAGCTATTCATGCGTTGATTTACTGCTACTAAATCTGCATTCATGCGCAGCACTGTGGCTTGAATTTGCTTAAGCATTTCAGAATTATGCTGCATTGTTTCAGTAATATCTATATTCATATTCACCGGATCACCATATTCATCATCAGACTGATCCACAGTGCCGTTAGACATAGCATAGCTTGAGTGTGTCACAGGTATTTCTGGCATTGCAGAAACTGTAGAATTTGTTTGTGGGGCGTTAATGCCATCGCGTTCACTGGTGCCATTTGTTAAATTATTATCAGTGAGATGATTGTGGCGTGAGACGGAACCGTTTATCGTGGAATTAGTGGGAAGCTAAAAAGAATAAATTTTACTTACATATTTAATATGTACCTACATATGAATTAGGAAACATTGCCATACCTCATCTTCTTCACCACTGCTACCATTTAAACTCACACCATGTTGTGGACTATTCGTTCTCGAATTGAATGGTGAATTCGGGTGCGACTCTGCAAGTTCTCGCATACCTGGAGCAACCTTATCCAGTTCCTCTAAATTTATATTGTCCAAACCACTAATACTACCAACAAAGTTTTGTACGTTTTCGGTAAATGACATCGTTTCAATTATTTCACGCAAATTATTCACGTAACGCTCCATTGCTTGATGTTTCTCTAAGTGTCGATTATCATTCCAGGCATCCCATTTCGCTTTGCCAACAACATCCCAAAAACCAGGACGCTTTTGATGACACGGACCTTCTGTTGCTTGCTTATAGTAACCGTAAAATTTGAGCATCATGGCGGTGCTAGGTTGATATGGGCCATTTTTGGGCAACCCTTTGATCACATTGACGGCGGCTTGAAAGCGCTCCTCTATAGAAGCCATTGTACTGGCAGTATTTTTGTTGCGAAGTAATAAGGCGTTTCTAGTTAGGTTTGATTTACTGGAATGAGTATAGAATTAATCTTCAACTGCGCGAATTAAGTAATTAAATATATGTGTGTGTGTGATAAGATTAAATATTTCAAATAAATGCATAAAAGTTGAAATAAGTTAATGCAAATTTTGTAATCAATTGAGGCATGAAATTAAAGTTCAATAAATAACACTAAATATCGGGAGAGAGACACATATACTATATGCAATAAATATTGCCACACATTTACTAAATACAAAATCGTTGGGAGGCGAACTATTTTCTGAACATAAATCACACGAATTTAAAGTTTCCAGGGTGGAAAAACTTACAAATAAGTCAAGCAAACTTTACTTGTTAAAGGTGCACAATCATATCGCGGAAACTATACGTAAATTCTCTATTAAGCTTTAAATCCGAATCCGTCAAGTTACGCACTGACGTGCTAAGAGCAGTATAAATTTCAGTGGGTCAAAAATAGTCGCTAGACAAGTTTTACCTCACTGAGAAGCAACCACGTACTATGCAAGCGATTTGTTGGAAGCCAGTTGGAAAATGAATGGATTAAGAGTGTTTAACTTATGAAATTTGCAAAAATTAACGGAGCGAATCAGTTTATGGTCTCCCAATAGTTTCAATATTTGCTGTGGCAATTAGCTTTTATTTTTTACTTTAATTCGTTTTTTTTCCATTTCCCTATGGACATGCCTTTGTTCAATTTCTTCATACTCAAATGAATTAAACAAAATGCTATTGCGTTAACGACCTTTGATATAGCGCTGAAATCAGTTTTAAACTCAATAAACGACCTTTGCTCCATCCTAGCGTTTCCGCTCGATAATATTACTACATATTTGCAGTGTATGCACATGTAGGCATATAACTACGTAAAGTTTTACATGCCTACATGTAAGGTGTATTACCTTCTATACTAAATACTTCAAATGTTTGCTGAGGCACTCCTTTGGAACATTTCATCTGTAAAATGTATATGCCTTAATACATGCTGAAAACTTCCTAGCTTGTTATAGGGTATGCATTTTATTAAGTTATATCGTTAATTACACTTCAGGCATAGTCGTATTTGTTATAATAATAGAAACTTCGCAGTTGTACATACTTGATATTATTGCGTATAAATAAGAATCAGCTTTGTTTAAATTATATTTATAGTTTTATATACAGTTTTAAGTTGTACAATATATTTCCCTACTATGCTAAAACTTGTAGAATACTTATTGTAATTTCTCTTTTTGACTAAATAAAATTGCCTTTGTTTATTTCTGTTATCACTCTTTCTTTCAATCATTGGGTTGATTTTCATACCTTCAATCAAATGTTGGACAAGCATAATTTCAAGCAAGTGTTGCAAAAAATTATGCTTATTTTAAAATAATTAAATGCTTGCTTAATATTAATATAAATTTATTATAAAATAATAAAAAGAAGTAATACAAATATTTTCCTAACATGTACACATTTTCCTTATAAAAACTAAATCTCATATCAGATTATAGTTTTCAGTTTCACTTTCATCGTTCCCGTCAATCTTGAAATTCTCAGAAATTCGCGTTCTTCTTTCGCTTTTTCATTCGTGTAAATGAATTGATTGAGTTAACAACGCGTGGAGTTTTATTTCGCAGTCAGTGTATAATTATTGATAAAATATATTACCATTAAAAATTTGCAATTGCAAAATTGTTAGCAATTTTTTAAACTCGGCGAATGCAATAATTTTTCGCATTTCACAAAGTTGGTAAAAGCAAGTGTGACGCGCGGTGACGAACGACCTTGTGAAGTTCGACAACGAAGTGCAATACCTACTTCGGAAAAATATTTCACAATATTTTTTTTTTTCGAAATTGCCAAACCTAATTATACAGATTCAAAAATTTTAAAATTTTAGACTAAAGAGTGGAAGGTATATGTAAAAGAATTAACACAAATTTACCTGTTATTGAATTTTCGCGTTAACGCCCCTCTTCGACGCGGAGGTGGTTCAGCTGGTCGATACGAAGATTGCATTCTGCCATTTCTAGGTAGTGCTGTGCATAAATCGGATCGTTATCTGGTGGACAAACAGAGACAGAATTTATCAGCAACTCGAAACTTGCGATTAATCATGAAATTTGTTGCAACAACAAAATCAAAACTACAACAACAAAATAAAAAGCATTATTCATTGAAATTCACTGAAGCTGAGCAAGAATTGAAACGTATAAATAATTTTCACGCGTTAAATTTGCTAACATTGAACAACGTGAGTTTGTGTAGTGCAGTGAAATTTGCGAAAGGAAAAAATCAACAACAAATAAACGAATATAAAAAGTTTTCTACTATTTATAAAAATTGGAAGAATCAAAACTTTTACATAGCTACGTCTTGATTAAGTGCACCTTTAAAAAAATTTACCCCTTCAAAAATCAATTGGATATAAAACCCCAAACCTATCAATCTTTGAAAATTAATTAAGAAATAATAAAGAAAAATTTTGGACAACTAAAAAATTAAATTTAAGTACACAAAGAAAAACTTTTAAATTTTTACAAGTTTTAAAAAGCGATTAAATAAATACAACCAGGAATATCGTAAATTAATATAATTTAAAAACTACCTTCTAAATTTTAAATAGCCGCGCAAAAATATAGTGTAATAACAAAACGCTAAATAACCTCGTGCTTGGCTGTCAATCCTTTCAAAAAGAATCAACGCTAGTCTCTTGCAGTTAGTCGTTCATCATTGCTCACGCTTTGTGCTGCACCTCCGTAGAGAAAACAACTGAAGAAGAGTTGGCAAACGTACGCGCCAAACTCGTTCAAAAGCATATAGGAAAGTATCTGCAACTGCAAAAGCAGGAAGAAGACAAAGACAAACAAGGCGCTACAAAAGGCATACTTAATTTGCGCGTATCCTTGTCATCGCATCAGGGATTTCAATCTACTTCAACTTCCTTAACAATATTAACTGATAAGCAGAGGTATTTAGTTAAAAGAAAGACGGGTATTATAACTGGTAATACGATTGCTACCAACTTTACAACGGCTTCTTTGTGCTCATTCAAAATTTCCGCTACATCGCCTAAATCTAAACGGAAGACGTCGAATAAAGACAAGAAAATGCCGCGACGCAACAAGAAAGGTGGCAAAGGTAAGCAAAATAATTGCTGTAATTTTCCGAATTCAATTAGTATATTTTGTATTTTACATGCAAGTGCAATTCTTTTCTGCGCAAATGTGTTTAAAATAGCATAAACAAAGTCATGTATTAGTGTCAAAAAATAAGAAATTCGCAAAAATACGCTAAATTGAACTTGTGGTGCAAATTATCACCAGCAAAATATACAAATATGAATATGTGTGCGTATAGATTAAGTTAATAACCCGCCTGTGCTCTTTCACTGAATTTCACACTAATTAGTTTTCATTCTTATATGTATGTATATTATTTATAAAAAATATCAAATTATAAAAATTTGTAATTATCACAGTAGTTTTTGCTTTCGTAATCATTCATGATTTTTAGTAAAATGGTTGGTGGGTAACAATCACGTGGAGAAATTTAATAACTAAATATTTAATAAAACTTTTTATAATTTTTTTTTTTTGGCACAAAACAAGTTTTCACTCTGTTCTTAAAGTAGGTAAAACGGAAAAAACGTTTAAAGTAATAAATACATACATACCAAAAAATTTTGAAGTATTTGATTTACATACTATTTTCAAATCGAAAAATACCAATTTTTTAGATGTGTCAATCGCAGATTTTATTGGCTAGTAATGACTATATTTCTATTTGATTTTTCACTACGTAAAAGGTATTTTAAACGCAAAATAAACGAAAAACCCTTTTTTTATTTGTACAAACAAACTATACATTTGTACGCATACGGCTATAAATGTATGCTCATGTATGTAGATTACTCGCCACATTCTTATCTTTTGATTATTACTGTGTCGTAATAATCTCTAGCATGTTTTTTCATACACAAATGTGTGTGGACGTATGCATGTGATTAGTGTTTCTATATAATTTTATAAAACAGTTTCAATGCCAGCCAACGAAGCAACAGTTCGCTTTTATCTCTGAGCCATTATATCACATACATATGTATAGACACTTTGCCAACACGCTCACGCAGACTAATCAAATCTATATACACTGAATATAGCATATATAATTATACATAATAATTTTGTACGTATAAAGTTCAGCTGTGCTGGCACATTTGTATGAATTCAAATGTATTTTTGTTTGTGAAAACAGCTGGTTTGTGCCTGCCTATCGCACATGGTAAATAAGTGAAGCATGCATATGTATATGCATAAATATGTATACATTTCTCAAAATACACATTTTGGTACGTTTAAATATTCTCACGCCTCTCCCTTTACTTTGTATAATACTATATATGTATATATGTACATTGTATATTATTTAGCTGATAGCAAAAAAATCATGTATTTAGTTCCTGAACAAAATAAACTTGTTGAAGTTGCGATAAGCGCGTATCTTCAAAATACTTATTTTTCGAAAATAAAGTCATATATTTGTTCTACTAACAATAAAATAGCTATTGTAATATAGCGAACCATTTTTGGGTTATTGTAACCTGAAAAGAGAAATTTGTATCACTCTGAAGGCAACGTCGAAGACCTTAAGAAGTGTATATATATGCATGTAGATCGATTCAGCCATGTCCGTCTATCTGAACATGCATAACCTAGTCCATCAGTACCGAGTAATCTATCTGAAATTTCGCGCACTTCTTTTTCTGTCCAATTTTGTCTCATTAAATTAATTGCTTCGGTAAAATCACGGTATGCTCCTTTTAGTGGATACATATTTAGAATTAAGTGAAATAGGAAAATGAACCAGTCTGGGTTAGATTTGGGCAGCTGGTCTCAATTTTTCGAATTTGTCTTTTATGTACTTAAACCGTTAGCAGTAAGTTAGCCATTTATATATATTTTTCTACACTCCTCTTAGCTCACTTATGCAATGATCCTTTCATACTTTCCTTTCGATTGGCCTACTTCGCATTTACCAAGCAGGCTTTTTTTCTTTTGCTTTTTGTAAATTTTTGAGGCATGCCTTCATGTATATTTGTTGGTTTATGTACGAAACTGCACCCTAAGTTACATCAATGGCCTCTAATACTTGTCAAAGCGACTACAACTCCAACTCCAACCAAATTGGCTCGAACCTGCTTTGGCCAAATTCCCAAGCAGGCCAGCAACTTTCATTTCACGCACACAAACACAGTTTATATATATTCACATACGTACATACATTAAGTATGATTTGTGTTGCACTGAGAATGCCTGCGAAGGCCAGCCTGTCTGGCCAATAGCAGTCTGCATTTGCAGTCATGTCATCGGCTCTCCCAACACAACAAATGCAATCAGCTGTTCGCTGCTTTGTGTAAGGCATGCGGTTTGCCAGAGATATATATATTTTTTAATTTCATTTGTTTCAATTGCACAGTCGGTTCGTAAAACTTGTTTCTTACACAAAATTGTTATGCTGTGCATGGTTCGCAATTTGGCGTTTAAACATATGGGATTTTCCTCGCTTGCCGAGCCGTCAACCAGCCTGTGCATTAGGCAAACCGTTAAGTAGTGTGTTTTAACGATTTGAGATTGCATATTTCGTGTATATGCTAACATATTTACTCCGTGCATGCATGCAAACATAAAAACACCTATGTTGTCATGCGCCTTTCTGGTTCATGTGCTCGTTTTAGCTGAAGCGGAAATCACCTTGTGCCAAATGCACAGTAGGAAGCGAAATGCCTTAGTTACACATACATATGTATATTACCATACAC